GTACTGCGGGGGGTCTCACCAGAGGGGAGATGAGGGGCTGAATCCCTTCCCTTGACCTGCTGCTGCCCAGGATACGGTTGGCTTGATTTTTTTGTGGTTGATCTAATAAAATATGAGCATAAAGCAACAGGCTCTGTTTCTCAAAGGCAGCCTCAAACAACAGCCTGAGAAAGCCACCTTAGGCCAGCAGCTAAGAACGCAGTTAGGGCGTCAGGCGGGTACTGAACAGTATGTTTCACCTTTGCTTCCAAAGACAGCAACGAAGTGGTTTAGGGTTTGTACACATCTGTTAGCCATTGCAGATTGTAGGTATGAAATTAATGCAGAGAGGCTGACCCACACCGTCCTCTCGTTCCTACGGGTGATGACTTTTATAGCGGTTGGTGGGACTTGCTGTCCAGTGTGAGCTGCGACTTTCTTTTTTTGGTTATGGCTCATGACGAAGGACAGCGGCCACGCTGGGGAAGGCACTCTCTGCGAGGACCAGTCCCAGCGTCAGCTCACATGCTGCAAGTGTTCTGAAGTTCAGCGTTTCCCACAATTCTGATTTCTTTCCAGGGACAACTGCATTGCTGAATGCAACAAGCTCCGCACCCGGTGATTTATTTCAAAGTTGCATGAAAAAGAAAGCAGATTTCTTCAAATAACTTCAGTGCTATCAAGATGCCTGCTCTGTGGCAGGCTCTCCGAAATGCCTCAGAGTCTTCTCTGCAAGAAGTTTAACAGCGTGGCAGCATCTAGAAATTTTACGATGTCCGTGCTTAGCCCACTTCTCCTCACCGTCCGTACATTATCCACTGAGCCTCTTCTGAACACCTCTGAGACAGCCTACTGACAAACTCTTGCCACAGTAAAGATGATGAACCTTTTTTTTACTTGTCGGAAAGTTTCTCACACAACAGCACTCATTTATCTAAAGCAAAATCATTCAGCTTTTTTGTAGTTTCAAAACACAGCTGAGTGATCTTACCCTAGAACCTGTAAAAAAAAAAATCTAGTTCAAGTCAACGTGTTCTTATTTCGTTTTGTTGACATCCAAAGATTTAATAGACCAAGGACACGTAATATTTCTTTGAACAAATTACTGCATGCTTTTTTTTATCCTTTTAGTTGTTATAGCCACGGTCCTTCCTAGACATCACCGACTTGTAAATATGCAAGATGACAGAATTGTTCTAAGGTATGATGTTATGTGTATAGCTAATCTGAAGAATAACTAAACACTAATAATACAATTAGGTACATTGTAAGCATAAAAGGATTTCAGTTATTAAGCAGATAAAGTCACTTTATTCATTTTTAGTCATACAAACAAGGACACAAAGCAGAAGTATCAGTGCACTGAGATACAAATAAAAATTTCCCACATTAAATATAAATACTAGATTTGCAATTGTTCTGGTAATTTTTATGGACAGGCAATTCATATTTTCTTCATAAAATAGGCACACATTTTATTTTTCCTGCTTCTTGTTCTGCTCCTCTTCCTTCCGTTTCTCCAAGTAACACTTAAGAATGTTGTTTAGCTGCTGCTCACACTGGCTTCCATGTTGTAATCCATTTTCCCATCCTAAAAGCAGCAATAAACAGGGTAATTACATCTCGCTTTACAGCATCCATCATGCAGTTAGTCTGCGGTGACGCAAGCATCTCTTTCCCCAAGCCTATCAAATGGCTCTGATATTTCTACTTTGAAAATTGTTCTTCTTCAGAGTTCAACTGCTAACGAGATGCTTCCTTTGACGTCAACCAAGTAGGTGAATAAAATAATTCCTCTTTTGGTACCTATTCTTGCCGGGCTGCCTTGTCAGGTGCTGCAGAGTCGGCGCACTCCCTTTGTAGTCCCTGCTAAGGCAAGGCCCTACCCCCTCCAAATCCACAAGGGAGCCTCCCTGGGTACTGGGCAGTCAGATTCGGGCAGAGTTTATTCGAGGTACTTCAGAGATTTGGACACTATTCCTTCTCTCGCTTCTCTAGTTCAAAGAAAACCACCACAGAAGAATTTATGAAGAAACGTAACCAAGATATGAACTGTCCCCTTTCAAAGGGGACTAATTCAAGTGCCAACGAAGGGAGAAACACGGTGGCCTCTCTTTCCAAAGTATGCGTACCGCGGAGAGGAAAGAGATACACAGAGCTGAGGGGCTCTTCAGGCATCTTAAACACCTTCTAGCAAAGTTGCAAGGGGTGGGGACAGGCACCATAAGGTAGGTTTGTTTGTTTGTTAAACAGGATTAGCTTTCAAATATGTAAACGCTCAATTACGGTAAACTTCGTAGCAAATATGTGGAAACTGTAAAAAACTGATTTGCAAAAACTGCGTTTCCCTCTGTGGTCCAATAAAACAAACAGATGTATTCACAAGGCAGCAACCTGCAAACAAAGCAATCGGGAATTACTTGGTAGAGTTAGCTGATCTCCAGTAGCATTGCGTTTTTTTCTAGCAGCTCAAAATTTATCTTTCAAATCTAACGAGCCCCTCGTTACAGAAAGATGCTATGTGTTTTTCTTTCCTTTATTTAAGTACCACCTCTTCAGAAATACTGCTGTATAGGAGAATTTCTTTATATCTTGGTTCTGCCTGGGTCTACTACGTAAAAGCGAGCTGGGAAGGGACGAGGAATGCAGCAATGGGTCTGAGCTCTCCTTCCTAGCGTGCTGTTTGTGCTGCTATCTGATGGCAACAAAAGAAGAAGTCCCATTACGGGATAACAATACCCTTCCAGTATCAAAACACCTTGCATATAAAACTGCAAACATGCAACTTGCACACTTGCAAATACTTGCATTTTCCTGCGATATAGTATATTTTATACGTAAGAAATATATTGTTTTATATAGTATGCATACTATATACTTTGTATATTATATAGTATGTAGAGTATATACACACTATAAAGTGTATTATACATAGTTTAATTAAAGATGCGCTGCATGGTTTCAAAAATATAGGAAAAGAAAATATTACCTTTGCAGTGATGAATTACTCTTCCCCACAGCCTGTTCCTACTTAAACAGGCCAGATTTCCAACAATCAACAAATGCCTCTTTGCTCTCGTTAGTGCAACGTTCATTCTCTTTTCTGAGTCTATGAACCCAATTTGTCTTGTTCTTACGCACGACAAAACAATGATCTCCTTCTCAGCTCCTTGGAATGCGTCGACGGTGGACACCTGGACAGCTTTCATTTCAAAAGCCTCAGAGTGTACATCAGTAAGCAAATTCTGAATCTGTAGACAAATAAATATGGATGACGATGAGTTACGCTACTCACAGTCAGTCACTTGTCTTGAGCACTCAGTAGGTCTGAATCTACATGAGACGCGAACTAAGAAACTAGAGAGTGCAATGACAGTAAAACCTCAGCTAATTGCAGGAAACGACTACGCAACGAACCTGTATTTGACAAAACACTGGTGCATTCAGTGTGGCAACAAGTGCTTCTGCTTCCTAATCCAGCAGCCCATGTCACGCCGTGGATGACTGGGTGAGGTACAACTCCAAGCTTGCTAAGCAGATGCCCCTGTTACCTGTCCTTGTCACACAAACCAGTTTGTAACAGCCCCTAATTCATTCATGAAAATTATGCACTATTTAATTTGCCCATTTTCTGAGGGCGCATGTGGAAGGAAAACAAATGGAAAGATTTTTTTTTTTAATCATGTGTTTGAATGAAAAGATTTTGACTAATTTTAGAGGGAAAAAAATACAGATTTTCATTTTTTTTAATAATAAAGAGAAATTATGGTAAAACTCTAGTTTACCTATCCAGCGTTTGTCTCTCACTTCTACTTGACTCTTCCTAGTTGAAATGGAGCCTATGTTTAGAATAAACAAATACATTTAAGAAAACTGTTTTATTGATGATACATTATACAAACCTTGCACATCTGTGATTTATAAAGAGTAATCACACCGACTGCAGATCCTTTAATTCCACTTGCAACCAGAGACTGGATGAGCTTGACTGTAAAATGAACTTCTGCCATGTTATAAAAGCTGTTGTCTCTTTCAATCTGGAAATAGGGAAGAAGATTTCCAATTTAGCTCTCACAAACAGCAGAATGCAAGAAGAAATAGAATGGAGGAAAAACTATGACATTGACTTGTTATATAAGAAAAGTTTAAAAACTTACTTGCTCTACCCCATTAACACTATAAAAACATAGTGTTGGAAGCCAATCCAATAAAGGACTTCTGTCTTTCTCTGAAACACCATCTATCAGACTTCCTCCATAGAACAGCTCGTTGGCTATGGCACTAATAGCAGGGTGACATCGGTACTGTGTCCGAAGAAGAATTGTTTTATGTCCCTAAGGAATTAGGATACAGAAAGGGTGACTAGGAAAAAGAATTACTAAATATTTTGCAATGCCAGCTAGGTCAAACAAGAAATAAGTGGAAACAATTCCTGCGGTAAGCTGGCTTAATCTTCATGCATTCACTTCAACAAAAGTTACAACAAATACGGTAGCCCCCGATTCTTACAAATTTCCGTGCACTGTGAAAACAACACTTACAGAGAAATGCACTAGAATGGAATCTGCTTAATTAAAAAAATAGGCTGAAACACTGATCCTCTGACATCTAAACCAGAACTCTTTTAGTGACTTCAGTGGACCGACAATTCCACCCTCCACCTTTTCTAAAGATGTGGTTTGTAGTACATACCATTAAGCAAAGCCGGTCAAAGAGCGTCTGCTCCAATCCCTTTTCGTGAACACTCTCAGACCCTTGAATAGTTGGTGGTAATTGCTTAGGGTCTCCAACAAGGACTAGCTTTTCACACTGAAACCTAAATAAGAATGTTAAAAAATAAGGAAAAAAGTTCTAAAAAGGATGTCAAACTATTCATAACAAAACCACGTGCTGTGTTTATATATCACAGATTGCTTTCCATCAGGCTCCCTTCTCCATCACCCTCCTGCCACGGTTAAAATAACATGGTAACTCAAGGAAGCCACTGAAGAGCAGGCCTCAATTTAAAATGACTCTTCTTGCTTTCTAAGGTGAGACCTCAGAGTCCACATTCTTAAAAAGATGTGCAAGTTTGGCAATTATTTGAGGTTGTGTCGCTGCTAACTAAAAGTCACTCCCCTGCTGAAACACAAAAGGAAGGCTGTACCTTGCAATCGGAAGGAGAGAAGCGGGTTCAGTCATCTGACTGCACTCATCCAGCATCACTACAGGAAACTTAAGAGTATTCAGACAAGGGAAGGGGCAGGCAGCACAGGTCACTCCAACCACTTTTACCTTTGTTGTTAGTAAGGGGAAAACGGGTAGACAAAAAGTGAAGATCATTTAATAGTTAATCTCTGTGTAGTACATAACTATAGCTTCCGCAGTAGAATACACCTAAATTAATGCTTAGCAGTTCTACCGCATGCTGTGTCACACTCACTAGGTCTCAAAAAATTATATTCTAAGTTCCAGTAAAAGGCACTGTGTGCGCACAGAGATGCATCCAAGGTTATCATTTCTTATGCTTGGGGTGTTTGTACATTGGAATCATTCACAGATTCACGTATTTTAAGACCAGATCTGGTCTGGTACAGAGAGAGTTCAGATTACACAATCCTCCAAAACCTTCTGAGCCCCAGGAGCAACAGTGGCAGCAAGGACCAGTAGGTGTAAGCACAGGAAACAACTTGCTCAGATCTGCTTTGTTACAATTACTCTGCAACAACCTGGGATTTTTTTGAGTCTAGGACTGAGGAGAAAAGGCAAATAACTGAAAAGACCAGAAATTGAGAAGGTTTTTCTACAGGAAGTAGTAATCTCAAAAGGTAATACTTTGATGAAAAGTTACTTAAAATATATTTGAAATCATCTTGGCAGTTGATACGCAACTCTGGGATAGATTTAGCTCAGTCCTTATCTCTTACCTTTATGACTGTATACTTAGTTTCAAGGTGACAGTGCAGACTAGCTGCGCTCAGAAATTTTTTTCTCCCCACCTTGTAAACTAGATTGGTAATATTACATCAGATTGCAACAAAGTTCAATAAGCGTTTCTGTCTCATATCACTAAACAAGAACTGCAAGTTCAGCTCAAGAGAAGTCATACACAGACACTAAGCTACACCTGTGGAATCAGACCTGTCCTAGTTCTAACATTAATTTTATTTTTCAAAACTAGGAGCTTGGCAGGTGTGAGAGGGGATTCCCAGTTTCCATTTGCTGGGCCTTGTGGATAAGACACTGTGAATCCCCACTTTCCCATCCCATCACTTTGACTGTACCTGTTGCAGTATAGTTTTATTGGTCCCCAGTTTATGTTGCTCAATACTCTTCCTTACGTACATTTTTTCAACTGGAGTTAAATCTTCTTTCATAAGAGCAAGCAGCTCTTTTAACTGCTCGTTTTCATTTCCTGAGCCAGCATGTAAACTTCAAAAAGATTTTATAACATGCATTACAATGATTGAAAATAACAGCACTTTCAGTATTTGGTAAACACCCAATACAGAAAAATAATCATACTTTGTACGTAACAGCACTTTACAGCAATGTACTAACCTATCCCGAACCCAGCTGAGATAGACCAGTATAATACCTGGTTTAAAACAGACCTTTATCCCATCAGCTGAGACCCTACCACCCCAACCAGAGACATACACGTAGTAAATGACTTCTCCAAGTACAGAGCTGACTTCAGAGTGGAGAAGAACCGAGGACAAGTTTTTCATTCTTAGACCATTTTATACCCTTGGTATGCCACTGACACTAAGGAATGGAATTTTCATCTTTACCCATCTTGAACTTTACTTTGTTCTCTCAAATTGTGTTGAAAGTACTATGTAGATTGCTTACTTTTAAGTAGTTAAAGGCCAAACCCCAGAACGCTATAGCAAAGATAACTTGGGTAAGTAGTACAGAATTCCTGAGTTGTTACCATTAATTCTCGGAACATTAAATTTATTACTTCCTCCTAGTTCTTTTTGTTACAGCACTACATATCAATTTCAAGTACGACTGTTTTGCTTTTCCTCCTTTCGTAAACTCCTGAATCTGTAACTGCCGTTATTTTGTTCTCTTTTACTACTTCCCATTTAAAAGCACTAGCTCTATTCAGCAACAAGTGACATTCCCAAATCAAGGTAAAATTTCTCCACGGTGGGGGGAATCCCAAGATTGGCATATTACAATCACATTTTTAATGACTTCAAAGTAGTACTTTTACAGCTTGCATACTATCATGAATCTTAGAATCGCTTCAGATCCCTCAAAGACTAAGATTCTTACCTATGGGGAAGAATTGCTTTGGTGATTTTCCTAATACTTCCCACTCTGATAAAATCCTCAAATCCAAGATCGAGTAGACTTCAAAGAAAAAGAGATGATACATGTTACAGAAATGTAAAAAGAAAATTTGAAAAATTTAAAAGTGGTTCTAAAAAAGCTGACAGACACATCACAACATCAAAGAACGCAAACTTCTGCGATTAACCAGATGAAGTAATTCGGGCCACAATTCAAGTAAATCAAAGTAAATTACCTCATCATGATTTGTCTCAAAAATGCTTAATGCCTTTATGATTCTCCTCTCAAAGTCTTCCATTTGTGCTTTCCCTTCCTTTCTTTATTCTTCCACACCATGAGTTCTATTTCATGTTAGCTTCATGCTGAAGCTTTCCGACTCTCTCTGCCTCTCCCTCTCTTTCCATCCCTCCTTACCCTGCCCCTACTGCTACTTTACTAAAGATTCCTGAGCAATACTCCTTTCTGTCATGATGAATTTTAATAGTAAATTTGATGAGAGTAGAACCCGATATTAGTCTCAAGTAAAGCCTTACAGTCTTTTAGCAGATGCATGCTGCGCTAAGGAGCAAGGGTAAAATTAAAGCCCACATGTGAGACTGGAAAGAATGCAATCTTTTTGAAGTGTTATACTGGAAATATCAACGCCATTTTCTTTACCATATTAGTGGATTATTGTTTTTGGAACAATAGTCTGTAAAAATCTCAGTAACCTACCCCAGCAGTATCCTGTCAACGGCAACGTTAGTGGAAGAAGCAATCAGAAGTTTCCATGGAGCTGGCCTTGGCCCCTCCGTAGCTTCACTGCTTTCAAAGAGCTGTACTAGGAACAAGATCACCACAGACAGCAGATAGCTCTTTCCAGCTCCAAAAACACCTGGTATTTTGAAAGCAAAAGCCACAGTTACAAATGAAAATTTTATAGCAAGTACAGTTTTAATCAATTGTTATAACTTAAGTTTATCTTATGAAATATATTATGCTGTGATTCCTGTAATAACATTGCACGTGCTTGCTTCAGCAGCTCCAAAGATCCAGGGGCAAGCAGTTGCCTTACGCTTCACATTTACTGCCTGCAAGAAGTTTACAAAAGAACTACGGAAGAGGGGAAGCTAAGGTATTTTTCCTAAATTTTCTGGTTGAATACATGCATTACCTGCTAAGGAGTCTCATCAATACATTAAAATAATACAAACACAAGTATCCGCATGCACATCCCTCATACCATGTCCTCAGGTACAGAATAAGGAATTTGAGAGATGATTATTTTGGAATGACTAATAATTTTACCTAGATTAATATGCCTGACAGGCTAACAAAAGTTTAGGCAATTTAAGTCTCGTGGTATTTGTACTAAGAGTGTCTCCTTATTGTCAATGTATATACTTTGATAGGATCTGAAAACGTACGTTTATGGCAACTGCTTTTCAGTACTGATTAAAAAAAAATTTAAAAAAATCTTTGACCTAAAATGTTACTAGCCTTGTTGTACATGTTGAAAAGGGACAAAACAAAAATAGAAGGAATTATGAAACAGCAAGGAATAACGTGGAATAGAAAAAAATTTATATGATAATTTAGCAAAGCTGACACATGACAAAAAGTGTTTTTAATATGAAAATAAATAAACGGAAAACACTAAATAACTCTGATTTTGTGTATAGATCTTGCTAGGAAAGAACTCTCTATTTATGTGAAATCCTGCAAAAGGCAGAATGCAAATTCAAGGATCGAAAGCTCTGCACTGATAGAATGGATGTTATAATGTCAAGGTTGTTATCAGAGGGGCCTCATCCAAGAAATGAATTTTCAGGAAATGCATGAAGTAGGTAAGGACAGCAGCGTTACAAAAGAGTTTAAAAGGATATTCCATACACAGAGGCGGTTTATCCAAGCTCACCTTTTGCACTACATTTAAAATAAGTCAACATTTACCTAGACATAAGAATCTCCCTTTAAGTCTGCCTGGAATTGTAAATATATGGTTGAGAAAACAAGTCTACTGTTTCATCACTGAGAGAATTTAGGGATGTTTCACTAACACTGGCATTACATATTGATTAGCATTTTTGCAAAGAAACAATAGCAGCAAATTTCGCAATTATCTGCTATATACCACGTATGATTGTGATAGGGAAGATCTGATGTTCTCCCGCTGGTTTGATGTTTTCACATGAGGTCATCATCTGAGCTATCTGAATCAGTGATGTAGCTTGATCTGGGTTCAATGAAAACGTTTGGATCATCTTTTTAGCTAGTCCCATTGCCACTTCAGTGCTGACAGGTCCATACATCATTGTGCGTTTCAGGCTGATGGCAGGTGGAATAAATTTCCTTTTGTTGACTCTATTAGAAGCATTTTCAGAATCAAAATTCCTAAGAAAAATACAATGGTCAAAAGTTGCGGTATAATGCTGCATATGTATAATTTGTATCTCATGGTTCTGACATTCTTACTCACCTGACATTACAATGCTGAGGCTTTATGGTTAGCTGACATAATTAAAAGTTGCTGCCCCCTGCACCCTGACATACACCTGGGCTGCATGTTCCTGCCCTTTATTACTTCCCTGGGTGAAAGCTGGATCATATGAAACAGGTTTTTGGGTTTTATCATTCTTGCTGTATGTCCACGCTTTCAATCTGACTTACTCCAAGCCCACGAGACTGACAGAATTAAGAGTGGTAGAATGTAGTCAGAGACAGTAGGGGGTCATTTAATTACTTTTTTTTATACAGTGAATTGTAAGCAGTCTTGGAAATATCCCTACATTGCTACGATTTTCCAAGAAAATATTTTATTTTCAGGTTTTGTGTCAAGTGACTCTAAAAATTTGGAAGGAAAAAAACAGGTCCACTGAACCCGTGTGAAGCACATACATTAACTTAATACAGATCAGTCAGGGACAGTACTATCAGTCTAATGGTCATAATAATGCCCAGTATTCATCTCTAAGTTGTAAAACGTGGGCTGCAGGTAAGTTTTAAGGAAAAAAAACAACTTACAATCAAGTTAGAGTTAAACAACCGATATAGTTTCATTTCCACATAAATGAAAGTTGCATTATCAACAGTTCATTCCTTGCACTGTTTTTCCGATTTTAGTTTTCCTCATCCACTTTTTAATAGGGCAAACTCAATGGTATTTTTGTTGGGTTTTTTTCTGTACCTATTGACATATTGTATGCTCACAGTATCACCGAAACAGTAACTTACATCTTTAGTAGATATGGTATTAGTGGTAACGTAGATGGAGTGAAGTGCTCCTCCAGATTTCTTAAAGATGTAAGCTCACCACTAGCATTACAAACCAGCAAGGCATGAACAAACACTGAAAAGGCCACAGAAAAATAAAATTAGGAAAAAATGAAATTAGCCAAAATTTCAAATCAGCTAGATAAATTAATTACAAAATGCCAGAAGAGTAATTAGCCTCCTGTAACAGAAACGCAGTTAACCCAATTACCGTGTCTGACTGAATATTATAGATGAGGAGAGACCTATTAGCCCTTCTTTTCAAGGCGTGTTATTTTGAAGTATTTGTGATTCCAACATCGAGAACCTTCTGGGAAGGAAGCTTAGATAAAAATCCTTACTCATTTTAGAAACACTCGGGATATTTAGAAGGCTTTGGAATTTAGGAGGTGAATTTTCTAAGTAAACTGTCCGCATCACAAGAGCTAAGCCGATGTTTGCTTAAAAAAGACAGGACAGGAACATAGGAACACCTCCAATGGGCCGGACTCAAGTTCCATCTAGCCTGTTTCCAAAGTGTACAAAAGTGGATGTCTAAGGGAGAGTATAAGAACAGAACAAGTATTCAACTATATTTTTCTGAATTTACTGCCAGTTTCTTAAGGTTCCGGGGCTCAGAGATTGCCCAAGTTACAGGTTTCTAATATGTTTATTAACCCACATACCTCTATTTTGCTGCTGTTTATCACTGCCAACAACTAAACATTACTTAAAGCTTTATTTTCATATACCTTAGGGCTTTAGTTTTGTAATGGTTACAGAATTATGAAATAATCTGTATTTACTATCACAAAGAAAGTTAGGACCAAAAATTTCCTCAGAAAAAATAAAATGCTGTGATTCAACAGCAGTAAGACTGGAAAGCTATATATTAACTCTTCCAGACCCTGACTGCTTGAGACATCCAGTCCTGCAATTCACACTCAGGGAACAAATGAAACCAAACCTCCACTTGCATTTGAAGCCCATGATTTTGATAGCATGTATGCTCACAAAGAATTTGTGTGCCATTGCATTTTTTTTTTCTGTATTTTTTAGTCTTCAGAACAGAAGTTTAATGTA